CTGCACGTTTAAATTTTACGGCGGAACCCTGTGCACACACAAACTGTTTCTGTTACTCTTCTGTGAGTATGTCTCCGCTGATGATCAGCGACGGATTTCGAAACGTCAGGCGAATAAACATATTGCCCGGCGATCGATTCGTCCTCCACTTCTCATCCACTCCATATCAGAATGCGGTACCGTCACTCCTAGTACGCTGTTACACGTGTAAGGAGACGTAAATCTAGAAGCGGAAATTGAATTTGTCTCCATAACCGATAGCATTTTATGATAACCTTCAGATGTTACCCTGTGGTCTCATAGAATAGAGCCGTTTTTTTTTCCTGAAAAGTTTGGATGCAACCTTCAAAGTAAAGCGTATTTTTCCCTTTCTCACTCGTTATATAAAGTACAGCGGGGACTCAGGTGACGAAAAGCCCCATCTACGAGCATTTCAGGTAACGAACGAGTCACTAGAAGAAAGTGTGTTTCGCTTGACGAGCCTTCCGTTCACTTAAACAGTTGTCAGTGCCTGTGTCCGACATTGAGTTTTGCTCCCTGGGCGTGGATCCTCGATCGTCTGCAAGAAATTGGTGAACGGATTAGCTAAGTTTCGCACGACCGGCGTTTAAGATGACGAGCTCGGTGCCGTAACGGATTAAACTCGTTAGCCGAGGTTCCACTGTGCCTGGTTTCTCATTATTTCTCAAACCAGTACTCAAATCAAGTATGCGAGCATTTCAGGTAACGAGCGAGACACTTGCAGGAATCGTGTATTTATTGACGAGCTTCCGCTCAGTTAACGAGTTATCAGTGGGCGTGTGTATGCCTGTGTCCATCGTTAAGTTTTGGTCGCAAGGTATTGGTCGTCAGTCGCCTGCAGTCAATTGCTGAACTGATGCAGTTTGATTGGCTACTTTTCGCAAGACGAGCCCGCCGGAACGGATTAAATACGTTACCGAGTTTCCACTGTACCGTCTCTTGAACGAGTTTCTTACCCGTCGCCTGAATAAGATGCACTCTGCAAAAAAATGAAAACTTTACGAGCATGCATCCTTTCCACTGATTCAAATATATATTTCATAGGAAAAAAATACACAACAGTACACCTTTGTGGATTCATTTGGTAGGGCATTACACACCTGCAAATTGTACATTCGAAGGAAGTTGGAAGGCGATTGTGAACGCTCAAATAACGAGACGAAGGGCTCGTTTTGTGCAACGAACAACTTCACCAGCGCAGAATTCAAGATGTACAAAACCAAAACACCACGAGACACGAAAGAACTCTATGTTTGGCGAAAGGACGCTAAAAAGCAGAAAAAGCGAGGGTAAATGCATTATTGGCAGACATCTTGGTCGAGTGTGAAAACTAATCAGTCCGGTGGCAACATAAAAGGAAGTGGAGCGGAGATCAAAATGGGGCCTTCCGCCAAGGAAGTCGCGAGGAAAAGTTAAAGTAGAAGGAAGCACGCAAAAGACGACGACGACAGTTTGCACAACATACCACGGAAAACAAAATGCGCGAGCTAGTTGAGGAAGGAGAAGAAGTAGCAAGTGCGCAGGACCGAAGGTATCACGATTGTCCGAGCCTGGGGCGGGGATGTAACAGCCAAAAAGAGAGCGAAGGATACCCTGCAAAGCTGATGATGGCTGTAGCGCTGAAACCAATAGGGACTGTTGAATGAGGAGTCAGCGGACCACCAATCTCACAAACTGTGTCGACCGCCCCGAGGGACGCAGATATGTGCAATGCAGGAAAGACGGGTTGGGGAGGGGGAGACAAACGACTGAAGACTGTTGCGAGATAAACCAGCTCGAAGCCACACAGGTTCCGTATTCGTGAAGTGGGTCGG